TTTTTAAGTAACTTTCTCCACTTGCAAATGTATATATATATATACATTTCTTGGGAATGTAATTCGTAAGAGTTTTTCAACTCGAACTTTTACGTAAGTAATTCGTAATCTCAACGTATCGTTCTTTTTATCAAATTTTGTCTTGAACTTCGAGTTATTTCTTCTTCGATCGTGTCTAATTACACTTCCATTATGTCGCAATATGATTCATGCCGCGTATAATTCACTTTCTCTTCATTACGCGTTAAACGTTATTAAAACGCTGAACGACGTTCAACTAGAGCCTTTGGCGGTTTTACGTGTTTTGAAAGCATTTCGAGCCTCGCCTCGCATCTCGTTTTCCACGTAATTCGTGATTCGTCAAACTTCGCACGCGAGTTAATTAATTAAGAAACACGCTATGCGTACATCGATTGCTACTCGCCATTCGATTATTTATTAATTCGATTTCTATAATCATGAAATGTATCGAATAAAGGAAGAAAAGAATTAAATATATTCTATTCTTCGAATTTTTTGGTAGGCTTGTTATTAATGAAAAATGATAAGAAGCTGTCAATATTTGTATTATTATTCAACTGCAAGTATAAATAAATATTGCAAAATTCGAAAAATGGACTGGAAATGAAATATATGGAATACTTTATGATTCTGGTTCCTTTATATAATACATCTATTCTCTTAAAACTTTTTAAAACTCTTAAAACATTTCGAAGTAATCAAACTCTATAAATCTGAATGAAAAAAACGAGGCATTTCGAAGATAAAAGTTCGATTTATCTTGGATTAGAAGAAATCGTTTTAATCGAAAATAAAATATTTTAGAAATAAAATTTCAAAATTTACCATGCCCCTATATTTCACGATTCGAATTCGAATGCGAAGATGAAATATATCCTTAAAATATTTTACTCGAGTCCAAGCTATGCTCTATAAACCTAAAATCAAAATGTCATTTTCGAAAAATAAAATAGGATTTCGAAAATAAAATTTCCGATTGATCCGGAATTGGAAGTCGAGTTCTAATCGGTCAGTGTCAGCTCGTTGCTGTCAGAAAATCGATAGAATTCCCAACGTATCGAGAAACGGGTGTCCTATGGCAATCTCTGATTACGCTCTTTTCAAACCTTATCCATTGCGAATGAATTTCGAAATTGATCTCCTTTCATTTTTCACAAATACTATAAACTTCTATTAATAAGTTCTACTAATAAGAACTAATAAGTTCCATAAACTTATTTTCCGATCATTAATCCTTTTATTGAATAATATGTTTCGACTATTACGCATTCAATTCCTATCCTTATTATTCCTTGCTGCATAACCGTGATACAACGTTCTTGTAATAAATAATTCAACCAATCAGAAACATGGAACGATTCTATTGGAGCAGAATAACTTGCTCCCTTTCTAGTAACTTTCTAGTTACATAATTTTCGCGGAATCTTTATCGCTGGTGCTGGCACTTTATTCTACAGTTACAGCTCACTTTCCAAGATTCGAAAGAAAAGTAACGTTCCAAACAAGAAAATGAGTTCGAGTTTTATCCCATAACGCGAATATCTATCTTTTACTCGAATCGAGTGAGACGCAAGACATTTCTAACCTTGTCCTTGTCTATTCTTCTATATCGATTTCCACTACGGATAGATTCCACTACGTTTCACGCATCGAAAATCAACAGGTTTTCGATTGTTTCCTATTTATACAAATTTCAAATCACATCGATTTTTCGTGTAAACTACACAAGATCGGATACTATAGAACAATGAATCTGATAATAATTCGAGAATCATTTTAACCGATAATCGAAACAATGTTGTTTTCAATATTGTGAATCGAATGAAAAATGTGCATATGTGCGCTGAAATATTTTTATCTCTCGCTCGTCGTATTTCGTTCAACCGCGAAATAAATTCATTTTACGACGAGAGGTAATTTCATCCCGAGCCGTTTATTTGATTCGCTTATTTGCGGTAAATGACACTCAACTTTTTTTTTCTTTTGCAAGATCGTTAAAAGTATATAGAAAATATTGGCTTTGTAAAATAGCGGGAAATATCTTGATAGAAATATACATCGAGATATTATCGACAAAAAGAATACGTATTTTAATCATACGCTTAGATTTATAAGTGTATGTGATTTATTATCGTATCGTATTTTTCATCACATTTTCATCGCTTTTAAAGAAATTGCTTAATAACGTGTTACATACATAATGTCGTTATCTACGCATATCTACTATTTACCGATCGAAAGTTTTGGAATCACAAATAATCGACAAAATTCGAGAATTTAAGAAAACAATTAAATTAGTTTTGCAGGTGAACTGCAAATAATTTTTGCACTATTTTTCTTTTCAAAAAATTCTCTTATTAAGCTCTATCAGCAATCATTTGTTTACTTATTAATCATTTATTTTTAATACGCTGTCAGCGATCTAGGTTGCTTAAATTTACCAAAAGTTTTTTTGATGATTTATAAAAATCTACGATAATTCGTACTTTTTATTCGTAAGTATTTCAATATAACGATTCACACCTCAGAGAACTTTGAGTGATGATTTAAAAGACCCGATTTTAAAAGAAGAACTGATTAGTAGATTTTAATTTTAATTTTCTAAAATTTTATTAATTAACAACAAAATTAAAAAAAGACTGTAAATTTTGAGTACATACGCAATCTGATAAAAGAACGCAAGCAAGAACATCGAGATAAAAATGAACGAGTATTTCATCAGCCACATTGAACAAATTGCAAAGAAGGGACGATGGAATAGAATTGCATGTACTGGATTCGAAACGTAATTGCGATGCAATTATTACAGAATACCGAGAGGAGAGAAAAAGAGGAAAAAGAAACGCGAGCCGAAAACGAGGGACGGCCTTGTCCTCGTAACTGCGTGCAAGCTCGAAAACCATGCGCAAATTTATCGAAGGTTATAAAAGTCAGGCACAACGGCCGGCCTACTAGAAGCATTACTTATGCGCGATTTGTCAAAAGGAAACTTAAATAGTTATCGAAGAAATCGACGAATTTCATGGCTCGAGTTCTGCTTGAAAATATGGCATATTTCTTTTCTTCTTCTTATTTTGTTAAATCAGTTTTTTCTCGCGGTATAGTGTTTCACAACTCGCGAATCGCGAGATGATTTGTAAGAGGACAATTTTATAAAAGAATTCTTAGCAATTATTTATATTAATAATAAAAACATGATAAATAAAAGTAACTTATGATTTGTTGCGGCGAACACTCGAAAGAATTATTTTTATCGCGCAAGGAAATATTTAAGTCAATATCTTCTTTTAAATAATTCATCTGACGTGAAGGATGATTAAATATATTTGTTCTATCGATTGAAATAAAAATAATTAATTGTTACAATTCTCATTTCAACATATAATATATTAAGTATTTTTTCAAATTTTTAATATTACGTTAATATATCTAATTCCCAACGTCTGATTCAAAATAAAATTTATCGTTCAACCTATCAAAGATATAAGAATTTTTATGCAATGCAAAATAGCAGCTTATTTGACTATTATAAGAGTTATGTCTTTGAAAATATTAGAGAGTTTACGATCTCGTAAAATCCGACCGAAGTATTCGAACAAATTTTCATTCTTTTTTTTTTCGACCATCTTTTAACGCGATATAATTTTTTCCCAGGAAAAAATATTGCTATAAATGATATTGACGACTGTGTCCGCAAATATAGAATGCAATTATTTTTTTTTGGCCTACAAAAGAAAGAAAAGCCATCCGGATTCTTTTCTCCACTTTGACACTTTTTTTATTTTGCTCAAAACGATCCGAATTCGATTTATTCTCTTTTCTATCTATATGCACATATATCTTGATATGTTTTTCCTTCTACCTCGAATAAATTCAATTCATCAATGATTCTAACGATCTTTCGAGATCGTCCAATTTCTCTGATGTTTTTACATCGTGGATCACATTCGAATCAAAAAACGATTTGCCTCGTGAAATTTCGCAATAACTCTATTACAGATTCCATCTTTCGCGCGAATATTTGTGTATTTCCGTATTTTCCTGATAATATTTTCGCTGATAAGGATATCAGTGCACATAAAAATCATTTCTACAAGTTTTATGCGAAAAAAGAAACTGGTTCAGAATCACGTATATATGAGAATATATACATAATACGTTCAATGGTTACGCAAAAGTGCTTACATAACCTCACTTTGCAACGAACGCGGTTTTTAAACGCGTTTTATACGTTTCATTCTCATTAGCATCAGATTTTTGTAATTATATTACTAATACAAGTTTAATATATTTACAATTAAGTTAATTAGCTTGTAAATCGAATGACATATCGCATTAATTATAAATGTTTTTTACTATAGATAAAAAAGTTCTATCTATAGTAAGTGTAAATTGTATTTTGCTTTTTTGTGTTAAAACTAAAATTTATTATAATTAACTATTTTTTATTTTTTAATGTTTCGTGTATAATTGTAAATCCGTTTCGCGTAAATTTTTAGACAAACCATTGAAAATTGCACATCGAAACACGCCATCAGACTATCTAAGTGTTAATGAAAATTACGTAAGTGAGAAAAAAAAATATTTAGAATAAATATTTCATATTAAAGCTTACATGATTTTCTCCTTTTTTCCTGACATTAGAAATTAATAATAATTTCGCTTATTTTCCTTTTCTAAGAAAAACAAATTCTCCGAAATGAAAAATTCTAACCTAACTTTTTTTAAAATTCTACAAAAAACGTTTGTGATTTTTGTAAAATTGACAGAATTTCGTATTCACTCAATCACGATGAGACACAAATTTGACAGAAATTGCACCAAATACAACATACCTCCAATATTATTCTTCTCGTTTCACCATCTATATAGTTTCTAGATTTTTTTCCCTTCTGTTTGCTCAAATCGTTTTTGCAAATCGTTGCTTCTCGTTACATTTTGCACTCGATTAAAATTGCTTTCGTTCTTTTCTGTTTCAGTTACCGAGAAGGAGATTCGACAATGGTGAGTCACTAAAAATGAATTTTCGATCTGCACACGTCTCGAATCAATTCATTTCAAAGATAGACGAATCGACATCGATATAGATATAATCGCGAACTGCTGTCATATTAAGATTGTTCAGCGGATTATGAGAATGTGCATATATTCATACAGTACTTAACGTTCCCACCCAATAAAATTGAACGCTCAAATGCTTCTGATTTTCATTAAATTATATTTTAATAATAATTAAGTGATAATTAATTCTTGCATTTGAAAATACATTTTTTGTATGAAAAAATATTGTATAGCGTGTGTAGAAATTCGTGAAAAATCTGAGGTTTTACGCGCTCTCGAAACTTTTTCCTTTTCTTTTAAAAAGTATCTATTTTGTAAAGAATTAAAATCCTATTATTTATTTAAATCAAAAGTTTCTTGATATGGGATCGTAAACACGTAACCTCTTTTTTAAGTTATTATTTTCTTTGAATTTAATTTGAAAATCGTTTAAAATCATCCAATAATAATAATATTCACCAATACTATTGGTTACTATTTTTAACCAATAATATTTTATAAATTATTCTTATAATTTATAAAAATTTCTATTTCATTTTTTCTTTCCTTCTTATAAACTATTTTAAAATCGTACCAATTAAAATGAGACCACGTTAAAGTATCACTATTTAATTAAACGATGATAAAATAAATTTTAAATAAATTATTTGCACAAATTATTTTCTTTTTATCCAAACAATTTCCAATTATAAAAATAAAAATAAAAAAGTTTCGAAAGCTCGAAAACTCGAGTTTTTCGAGAGGTTTTGAGATTTTCGAGTGCTCCATCCCCCATCACGCAACGTAACGTGTTCTATCGGATCTGCGGTTTTAATCCATCTGTCCCTTACAGTAACGTTTTGCCAATCGATCCGTCCATTTGTATAGAATATAAAATTGAAACTGGAAAAAGGAAAACGGATGTTACGAAACGAGTAAGAACAGATTCGATAACATTGGCGACTGTTTGTTTAGGCACAAAGGATTCCTGAAAGACTGCCCCGACGGGTTGCTGACGGAACAGGTATGACCCCGTTTCACCTGGCACGTTAATTAAACGAAAATCGATACGCGGCTAGATAAGGGGAAAGTTTGAAGATAAAGGTTGCCTGTTGCGTGATTTCAGGGTTTCATAAAGATCTACAAGCAGTTCTTTCCCCACGGCGATCCATCGAAATTCGCCTCCCTCGTTTTCAGAGTGTTCGATGAAAATAGCGTGAGTATTATGCAATGTAATTTATCTCCAACGATTCGACATTTATTACTTACGTTTGTTTATGTTAATTGCGAATGAAGTACACTATCGTTCAAAAGTTTGGAAACACTGGTAATTTTTTTTTTTAATATTATTGATTCGTCGTATAATATAATCGATATATCGAGTTCAAAAATTTGTAAAATGTTAAAAAAAGGTTAAAAAAAGGTTAAAAAAAGTTACAAAAGTGATTAAATAAATTTGGAAGTTGCATGTGACTTGTTTATTTTTTCATCAATCGTGTCGTACAAATCAAATTGTGTCAATGTTTTGATGAACTGTATTTCATACATTTGTGAAAAAATTGCTGACGTAGAACTTTTGAAAAGAATTGGTATAAAAAATATCACGATTGATGAACATAGTTATAAGGAATTATCAATAATGATCAATTAAATCGAATCGAATCAATTGTTATAATTTTAACTTTTTTCAATGAATAAAATGAATTTGTTGAATCAAACTTTATAATCGATTATATATTTTTTTGTATATTATATTTTCGATAAAAATAAAAATATTAAACTTTCGTATTGAAAATTTGGTCACTTTATCTGCAACAATTTAATATAAAAATAATCATAAATGCTCTTTAACAGAGTATACTTTAGACAGAGAAAAATTAATAAATAGAATGACCAAAATTCGTTTAAATGTAATTTAAAAAAAAAAAAAATCATTTTGATAAAGCAGAAATTTTTGTTTCAATATATAAAACGTTGCAGATTTTTCTTGTTTTATTTCATCAGTGTGTTCTACAAGTAAAAATAAGATTAAAATGTCACGTACACGTCACGTTTAGTTACTTTATTAAAAGGCTACAACAAAAATATGAAAAGCAATATAAACTCTGTAAATATCTACATTTCCATTTCAAAATGTCATCTACCTTTATGAAACTATTGAATTGTAATTATCCACAACAGAGAACTCATATGGCCTTTATTTAGAAGAAGAGAAATAATATACATTCTTTTTACGTATATATTCTACTTTTATCTGTAGAACATACTGATTGAATGTTTGAACGAGAAGAAACTGGAACACTCTCTATTACTACTATTTATATTAATTATTCAATATATTATTTAATTATTCAACAATTTCCATTGATTGTAATGAATAAAAATTTATCAATGCGACTTTTTATGTTTTTATTTGAAATTCCTTATTGCTTCCAAACTTTTAAACGGTACTGTACTATCTTATCTTTTACCCTCTCTCTTTGCAATCTTTTTTGTGTAGAATTTCTGTTAAAAATATATTAACATACAAAGTGGTTGGTCTATTTGCCTTTATGAACAATAACAATAATTTTAAAGGATTTATCACGATTCTACCTAGTCAATGTTTCTTTAAAATTTATTATCTTTGCGACAAAAATTCAAAAAAAAAAAAAAGAAAAGAAAAAATTACCGAGAGTGTATTTACAAACGTTATCTTGTATTCAACCAGCAGTCGAATTATGAAAATTTATGCAAAATATAAAATTTCTTGTGGTCCCTACATTTCCATTCACCGGTTCTAAGCGAGAATAAATGTCACTTTAAGCGAAAACCATTTCGAAAGAATATCTACCGATACGATACGAAGATATTCCTCCTCTCCATGTCCTTTTTCAATTTTAGAACGAGACGATTCTATTATTTTTTATTTACCATTTTTATTTCACTATTTTCCGCCCTCGAACTATTTTACAGCCCCCAAATATGTTTCGCTTGTGTTTAAAAAATCATCCACGTATAATTTAGAATCTATGATGCAGCATTTTCCCCTTGTCTTCTTAATTTCGCTTCTGTACCACTTTAAACTACTCGAACTTTTTTTTCGCTGAGTTTTCGTTCGGAAGATTAAAATGTTTTTTAAAAATTTTTTTGCAATAAATCACGATTGACGATAAAAATTTTCTTAACCTACTATAATTTTTGTGATCAGTGATTCGACTCTCATCACACCAAGTCAGAAATAATTAAAAAATAAATATATTTATGGAATAGAAATAAAAATCACAAATAGATGTATCAATCAGTTACAAAAAGTTTTCATACATTTTATGAATATTTATATATATATGGAATAATTTTCTTATTAATGGAATATCATTTCGAAATCAATCCTTAAAATATTAGTATTATTTTTGTTCTTTTTAAATTTAAATTATAAAATAAATAAAAATAATTTTAGAATTCTATTACTGTAAAAAAATATTTTGCCACGGAAAATATGAAAAAAAAAAGAAAAAATGAAAATCTGAAAATTGATTTCGTATCCTCAAAGACATTAAAAAAAAAAAATAAATAAATTGCACACGCAAATTTTTCAAGTATAAATAAATTTTCCTTGACTTTTTTTAACTGATTGTACATCTCTATCGTAATATCCATGAAAGAAAATTTTTTTCTTATCCCTTAAAAAAAAAATTAGATTTTGAAAAGAGTTTATGATAAAAAAAAAAAAAAAAAAA